TAGAGACCGAAAGCGAGAAATCACCCCCCAGGGGAGATGGTCATACCGCAATCCCTTCTCCATTCTCCTCTCGGGATCTTGGGCACGCACGCACGCACATGCACCCGGTGTGAGTTTTAAGCCACCGGGTCCGGGACGCGAACCGCGGTCGACTACGTGGGAGTCCAGTGACATAGCCATTACTCTAACTGCTGGGTCCCTGCACTGATGCACTCTTCAGCCAAATGGGAAATGAGTCAAAAGTTACCTATATTATGAAAAATGTATATGCAAATCTACTTTTTTTTTTTTTTTCTTTTTAAATTCGCCAGAGAGCATACGTGCTTGTCAGGGGTAAGAAAGTCCCTTCTACCCTCCTTCCACCACCCTCCATCCCACCACATCCCTTCTCCTCCATCTCTCCCTCCTTTCAGGATTTTGGACACACACGTCTGGTGTGTTTTTCAAGTCACTGAGTCCGAGATTTGAACTGGAATTCCCTCAGTTTCTATTAAAAACTAGAAAAGGACAACTGTGTGTGAATATTTATGTAGGCTTACGTGTATAACAGAGATGTTAATAGCTGTGGTGATTATACACCAAACTGTTAATGACGGTTACCTCAAGAGAGGGGAATGGAGGGGCAGGGAATAAAAGAAAACCGCAACTTTTTCTATATGCATCTCTCTTCTGTGCCATGTTTGTGTTATTTTTACAATTAAAAAAATGTAAAAAGGCATAACATGAGTGATCTGGCTTTTGACCTTCCTCTGCACTCACAGCTGCTGCCAAGAAGCGAACAGACCCCTACGAACCCCTGAGTTTTCTGGTACCAGTCCTCATGAATGAGATTGGAGGTGTGTATGACAACCCGGAGGCCTTCTTCATAGAGCAACAGCATCATTTTCCTTTGAAAACAGAAAAGGGATAAAAATAAATAATTCAGCAGTACTTTTGAAATGTGTGATACCTTTCTACTACAAATATAATCAATACAATAGCAAAAGGAATTTAAAATTTTTTTTTTAGTTTTTTTTTTTTTTTTTGCTATAGGGCGTTTGCACTCGCAGGAGACAGAGAGGGATCACCCCCCCCCCCCCAAATCCCCGTTGGAGAAATGGTCATGCTTCGATCTCTTCTCCAGTCTTCTCTCAGGATTGTGGGCACATACACACACGTGCCCAGTGTGTTTTTCAAGTCACAGGGTCCAAGCCTTGAATCCTAGTGGGCCACGTGGGATACAGCCACCTTAATTTCAGTGCCACTGGCTGGTCTGCTAAAGAATTCTTTACTCTCGGGAACCAGCAGTTAGCGTAATGGCTATGTCGCTGGACTCCCACGTAGTCGACCGCGGTTCACGTCCCGGACCTGGTGGCTTAGAACTCACACTGGGCACGTGTGCGTGCGTGCCCAAGATCCTGAGAGGAGAATGGAGGAGAAGGGATTGCGGCGTGACCAACTCCCCTGGGGGGTGATTTCTCTCTGTCTGTCTCTCTGTCTGTCTCTGTCTGTCTGGTGAGCACACACACCCTATAGCGAAAAAAACCTCTCAAAAAAAAAAAAATTCTTTACTCTCTTATATTTCCCAAACATTTAACATTTATATTTTCCTTCCTTCTAAATATTACCATCATGCAAGACGGCTTAAGTGACAAGCAGAACACAACCGCCCATTCCCCAAATGCTCAGAGTATGTGCTGGTAAATAAACTCTTGCCCCTTTCCATCCACCTGGCCAGTCTTGGTGCATCAGACCTTCCAATATGGCCTCTCATCATCCATTCGGCATCACTGGTTGCTATTAGGAACAGTGGCAAGTTTCTTGTCTGGTGTTTTTCAAAGTATGGTCACAAACTCTAGCTGCGTAACAGCTACAATTTCTTTCATTATTTCATTTTTTTAGTTTTTGCTGTAGGTTGCATGTGCTCACCAAAGAGAGACAGAGAGAGAGAAAGTGACAAACCTCTCCCTGGGGAGATGGACACATCACAATCCCTTCTCCTCCAGTCTCCCCTCGGGATTTTGGGCACACATGCACATGCGCCCACATGATTTTCAATCTCCCAGATTTAGGACTCAAACTAGAGTTAGCTGGCAAGTCAGCTTTTGCCAAGGCTTTAACCTCCATGCCACCTGCTGGCCCATGCTAGCATGTTTTAAACAACTGAAATGGAGTAAGTCAGAGGATGGATATATTTAAGAAATGGTCCATGAGACTTGTATTATTATTATTATTATTATTATTTGAAGAAGGTGTTTGCTATAGGGTGCGTGAGTTCGCCAGACAGACAGACAGAGAGACAGAAAGCGAGAAATCACCCCCCGGGGGGTGGCCATGCTGCAATCCCTTCTCCTTCATTCTCCTCTCGGGATCTTGGGCATGCACGCACACGCACCTGGCGTGAGTTTTAAGCCACTGGGTCTGGGATGCAAACCGCGTTTATTTGAAGAAGGTTTTTGCTATAGGGTGCGTGAGTTCGCCAGACAGACAGACAGAGAGACAGAAAGCGAGAAATCACCCCCCGGGGGGTGGCCATGCTGCAATCCCTTCTCCTTCATTCTCCTCTCGGGATCTTGGGCATGCACGCACACGCACCTGGCGTGAGTTTTAAGCCACTGGGTCTGGGATGCAAACCGCGGGTGACTACATGGGAGTCCAGTGACATAGCCATTACATTATACTACCCACTGGTCCCAAGACTTGTTTTATTATTTTTTTTAAGAGAGTTTTTTGCTATAGGGGATGCACGCTCGCCAGAGAGATAGAAAGCCAGAAATCACCCCCGAGGGGGGATGGCCATGCCACAATCCCTTCTCCATTCTCTTCTCGGGATCTTGGGCACACGAGCATGAATGCCTGGCATGAGTTTAAATCGCCGGGTGCAGAACTCGAACTGCGGTTGACTAGGTGGGGGTCCAGCGACATAGCCATTCCACCATCTGCTGCTCCCTCGTGAGACTCGTTTTATTTTAGTACACAGGTTATATATGTGTCCGGTAGACTGAAACGTAAAACACTCCTTACTGTGATTGCAATGTGAAAGATGCTTTATTCCCATTAGACTGATTTTATGTATTTCATAGATGCCACTAGCACATGTCTCAGCTTAAGTGAAATCTTTCCTTTTATTCTCCATTAACTTTTTTTTTTAAAGAGAAATTTTTGTGATAGGGCACGTGTGCTACTGCATAAACAGAGAGAGACAGAAAACAAGAAATCACCCCCCTAGATTAGACCTTGCTGGGTCCTCTCTTCCCCAGGCCTCTAGAGATCAGATATACTTTTTAATTGTAATTGCATTTCACTTTATTTATTCATTCACTCATTCATTCATTTATTTTAATTTGACCAGAGAAGGACAGAGCAAGCGAGAGAAAGAGAGGGAAAGTGAGAAAGCAAGACGCTAGGTCCAGGACTCGAACCGTGGTTGGCCATGTGAAAGTCCAGCACCCTTAACCACCATGCTACCTGCTGGCTCCCTAGACATACTTCTTTTATTAGGTTGTCAAGAAAGTCATGTATTTTCCTATGTTTTTCTATGCAAAAATGCATCATGACTTTCCTGGAGACCCAATAATTCCATGAGCGAGAGGAAATGGGATATGAGTAAGAGTCTCCGGGGAAGTCTGAAGACCCGAGCGCCAGTCTTTGATGCCGACAAGTGGTTTGAGCCAGGTTAGCCACTCGGCGTCTGGTTTTCCACATGTCACTTGAAGAGCCGATGCCATCTTAGACTGTTGCGAAGGAAATGCACAACACGGTTTGTGAAATGGACAGTGGACAGTGCTCTCCTGTGCGTTCCTCCTCCTCTGTCAGTGCCCCGCCTTACCTGGTAATCTCTCACGCTTTCTAATTATTTCAGGAATCCAAGTGTTCTCTCACCAACTCTGTCTGGACTCACTCTATCACTTCCCTGGGGGCCCGCCTAATATTTTCTGATGGAATTTAGTTCACCCATGGGAAAAGAATGAGCCACTGGTTCTCCCTGAATAAACGAGGACATTGGAAAAGTCATGGCGCATTTTTCTATGTGTTTCTACACAAAAATGCATCATAACTTTTCTGATAATCCAATATTTGGGCAGGAAGAGATCAGCATAAGGAAAATACAAGGAGAGAAAGAGGGCAAGAAATTTGGCTCTTGCCAACATAAGAAATTAACCCACGTTGGGAACCAGGGCTGAAGAAATGACCGCTGAGGGGTCCTCTCCTTTCACTGAGGAAATAAGCACCCTGAAGTCTGGGTCAGTTTCACACATGGTTGCCAAGTACTGTCATTAAGAAAATGCCAGTTATGGATTCGTGATCTAGGATTTACAAACATGTCCATTAGTCAAGGGGAAGACCAGGCACTAACGTCCATGAATCCCATCAATGAGAACTGTGAACTAATTTAAGGGGAGCCACATTCATCCTTCCATCAACAAAACAGCACATTAACAGGCACAGTTAAGAATGGACTGAAATGTGAAAGGAGGAGGTCTCCTTTGAAGGATGCTGCCGTCACACGGTCTGCTAGGCTGAGAGGGGTGGGGCCAGCAAAAGACACATGTCCCCCATTGGAAGCTATTCCTGAGAAGGGCCGACAGACAACATCCATGAAACAACTTCAGTGCTGGACTCCACCCTTGCAGCAATTTGGGAGTTGTTCCCGTTTTACCACGGCTGAATCCGTGGCTAGGAGAGCAGTGTCCCAAGGTGGGGGCCTTTGGGCGTGATGCCATTAGGGTGGGCCTCCATGACTGGGCTGTAATGGGTTTACGAGTGGAAGAAACGAGACCAGCAGAAAGGCCACGTGGACTCAGGTCACGTTCTGCTCTACGATTCTGCCTCCTGTCATTTTGTGATGCCTTTGGGTGTCCCAGCCACCAGAACTGCGAGTAAAATCTCTATTCTCTTAAATTCATCAAGTCTTGGGCCAGCCGCCTAGCTTAGTGGTTATGGGACCAGATTTCACATGGTTAACCACAATTGGAATCCTAGCCCAGTGGTTTGAAAAATAAGTTGGTCTATGTGAATTCATGCCCCAGATCCAGGCAAGATGGAGAAGGTATTATAGTGTAACAGTGCCCCCATTGTTGGGGCGGGGGGCGGATTAAGACAGACCCCACTACCATGAGCTGGAAGGTCTCCCTATTTTCCTACCTCATACTTTTCTTGCTTCTCTCAACAAAAGACAAAAAACTACTAGCTTAACAACCCTGCGTCCTCTAGAGCTGTGTTTTAAGAACGTAATAGGTATTTAATGAGTAATTCTTAAAACATTTAAAAATAAGCGGCCAAAAGTAATGTCAAGATAGGAGCTCATTCTGAGTTACTGGCATTTCCACACAACGCGAATGCTGGGTGTTACGCAGTTGGGAAAGGACCAAGTAGAATGACTTCCCCAGGCATTTTGTACTCTGAATTAAGAACTGCTAGGTTTAATCTGCAGGGTGTGTGAGGAGGGGAGAGCGAATGAATCAAAGGAAACAGTGATGCTTGTTTTATCAGTGAGCACACAAGCACAAATCCAAAAATGAAGTTAAAATATTAGGTTGTTGGGAAAATCAAGACACATTTTTGCACAGAAAAGCACATCACGACTTTCCCAACAACCTGATACATGGGTTCTCTTCCTGACTTCACACGGTCCCAGGAAGGTCATTGACCTACTCTGAGTCTGTTTTCTGACCCATAAATTTTTTTTTTTGGAGAGGTTTTTTGCTACAGGGCGTGTGCACTCACCAAAGAGACAGAGAGAGATGGAGAGATAGATAGTGAGAAATCACCCCCCAGGGGGGATGGCCATGCCACAATCCCTTCTTCTCCATTCTCCTCTTGAGATTTTGGACATGCACATGTGCCCGGTGTGAGTTTAAGCCACCAGGTCCAGGACTTGAACCGCAGTCGACTACATGGGAGTTCAGGGACATAGCCATTATGCCAAATGCTGGTCCCATGACCCATAAAATTAAAAGAGAAGACCAAATGTTTCTGAAGAACTCCCGCCTCCCCCCTCCACACACACACTCCCAGGCCCAGTTCTGCACCACAGCGTAAGTTCCTGTACAGTCCTGCCCAGAAGTCACAGAGTGATAAGGGACAACGTAAGCTCTCCCCCACTGGCTGCTGGCACAGAGTGGAGAGCGACCATGCACAGACTGCTTAGAGCTAGCCCAGGACAGGGGCCAGCACGGAGACTAGTACATCACGGCCAGTGCAGGGCTTGCTGGACACACTGCAGGGTCAGTACAACGTCTGTGCTGGTTCTGGCTCTGGGCAGGGTCAGGATGTCCCATCTGGGGCTCCCTGTCACTGCTGAGTCCCCTGTTTGATGGCACGTTGTACCCTATGCTGAAACGAGCACCCTGGACGCTCAGTGACATAAATTACACCCAAGTTAGGTACCTGGGCTCACCCTTGGCCATCCTCGAACTCGAGCCGTGGCAGCATTCACTCAGTGTCTACACTCAGACACGTGTGGCTGCAAAGTATCCTTTTCTGAAATGGCTAAGTTCCCCCACTCTGGCTTCTTTTCAAAAGACTGGCAAAACATGGATTTTAAGGATATAAGGAGAAAGAACATAAAGCCTTCGTTCAGGTCACTGTAACGTGAAAACAGAAGCAACAGCACAGCTCCAGACAGACACTTCCCCTTAGCCGATGCCTGAGAAGAAGCCTCATGCAACAACTTACCCATTTCAGTCATGGTCTCAGAGAAAAATGAGTTGCCTTTTTTTTTTTTTTAAAGAATTATTTAATTTTGGGGGCCGGCAGGTGGCATGGTGATTAAGAGTGCTGGACTCCCACATGGCCGATTGCAGTTCGAGTCCTGGACCTGGTGGCTTGCTTTTTCACTTTTTTTCTCTCTCTTTCACTGTCCCTCTCTGGTCAAATTAAATAAATAAATTTAAATAATAATTTTTTAAAAATTATTGAATTTTTTATTATCATTAATATCACTTATAAAATTTCTTATAGGGTACACACTCTTGCTACTGAAAGAGAGGCAGTGGAAAAGGGAACGAGAGAGAGAGTGAGCTAGTGAGAGAAAGAAAGAAAGGAGAGAAATCAAGCCACCAGGTCTGGGACTTGAACCACAGTCGGCCATGTGGGAGTCCAGCAACTTGACCACCACGCTACCTGCTGGCACCAGAAAGATGAGGTTTTGTCACACTCCTTTGACAAATCCGTAACAGAAAAATGTGATTTATACAACGTTTGAAATAGGGACCATCGCATCTTATTTTTTTCCTCTTTTATAGAACTATATAAAAGGGCTCTGTAAACTAATAAGTAAAGTAGGAATTAATAATCAATATGTTGGGGCCAGCAGGTGGCATGGCGGTTAAGGGCACTGGATTCCCATGTAGCCGACTATAGTTCAAGTCTTGGACCTGGCAGCTAGCTTGCTTTCTCACTTTCCCTTTCTCTCTCTCTCTCTCACTGCGTCCCTCTCAGGTCAAATTAAAATAAGTAAATAAATAAAATAATAAAATTTTAAAAATAATAATATGTTCAGGAGGAAGAAACATGAAAAACATTTCTTCCCGCTTTCATGTCTTAAAAAACATTCTAAAAGAGCTGTGTTTAGCAAGGATAGGCACCAGACACTCCAGCTGGTCATTTTTGGTAAACAGTCGTCCTCTCATGGTGTGGAAAGATCTAACAATATCCTAGTCAACGTAGCTGGGATTCTGCTGAAAATCAGTATTGTAGAGGAGTGGAATCCCCAGCACATTACTGCACACCTGCTGCCTCCCTAACCGCAAGGAACATTGGCCATAATTTACTCCTCCCAAGCCAAGTATATCAGAAGTCCTAAACAGAATACAGGTCAGAGCTAAGAGATTCATTCTCTCACGCTGACAACCAGAATCGCAGTATTTTGTCTCAAAGCTGTTAAAAAAAATCTCCCTTTAAATCCCTATTGAGTGTTTTCCCCTCTCTCAGCAAAACCATCACCCATCACACTTTAGTCCCTTTCAGGGCACTTATTGAACAGTATCTTTTAATCTATTATACTAAAACCAGGGACCAACAGATGGTGAAATGGATACGTCGCTGGGCTCTCAATGCTCAAGTCCTGGACCCGGTGGCTTAAAACTCACACTGGGCATGTGTGCATGTATGCCCAAGATCCCCAGAGAAGAACAGAGAAGGGATTGCGGTGTGGCCATCCCTCTGAGGAATGATTTCTTGCTTTTTCCCTGTTTGTTTCTCCGGTGAGCACATGTACCCTGACTCTATAGCAAAAAATCTCTCTTAAATAAATAAAATCATACCCCCATTTCATAAAATTTGCTTACGTGTGATGTGTTCCAAATGCGATATCCAACTTTGCCTAGGATGAAAAAAAGTCATTAAATGTTTTTTTCAATGATATCACAATCTATTGGAAATTAGAAAAAAAAAAAAAAAACCTCATTTTTAAAGAGACTTTATTGCCCTCTATCGGATAATTATTGAATAACACCTTCTTCAACAGTATCAAATAGGGTTTATTTAAAAAAAATTTTTTTTGATACCTAGCATGACTCAATACAAATTGCATTTTTAATTACAGTAATTAGGAGTATGAAGTCTTATTTAGTTATCAAATAACAAAGCAAATGAGACTCTATGGCGAAGTTTTAAAATTAGATATTTGGCTTGTGTAGAAATTAATACACACAATGTTCTCAGAGCCTATTTAATGGACATGATGAATGTGGTTAGTAACAAAGACTTATGACATAAAATTTTAAAAGTTTCTTATAATGAAAACATAGCAAGTGCTGAAAAAAAAGATAATATATTAAATCCATTTTCATGTTATAAGATGAACCTTTACAAACAAGTGGAGGGTATGTGGATAAATCACTTTATCTAATATCCAATATAACAAGACCTTAGTTAGGCAGATGCACCACAAGATGTAATTTACAGGAGAATTAAAATGAATGACCACTGAAGACAGCTTAACAACTAGGAGTGCTGCACGAACTCAAACCCTGTCTTTTTTTCTCTTTCTTTTTTTGTTACAGGGCACTTGTACTTGCTGGAGATAAGGAGAGAGAAGGAAAGGGAGAGACAGATCCCCGGGGGTGGGGGGATGGCCATGCCATAATCCCTTCTCCTCTCCTCTACTATCCTCGGGATTTGGGGCAATGTGCACACATGCACCTGGAGTGATTTTCAAGCCTCGGCATCCGGAACTTGAACTGCAGAGATGGCTATGTGGGATCCAGCCACCTTAACCTTTGTGCCTCCTGCTGGCCCTCAAACCCTGTCTTTACAACTAAGTGTGACTCTGGAAAATACTTATGTCTCTACAGCCTTTTTGTTCTCTTTAGAATAGGGTACTGGGACCGGCAAATGGAGTAATGGTCACCTTGCTGGATTCCCACAGTCGACTGTGTTTCGAGTTGTGGACCCGGTGCCTTAAAACTCATGCAGGGGGCGTGTGCATGTGTCCCCAAAATCTCGAGAGGAGACTGGAGGAGAAGGGACTGCAGCATGGTCATCCCCCAGGGGGTGATTCCTCTCTTTCTCTCTGTCTCTCTGTCAAGCACACATGCCCTATAGCAAAAATCTCTCCCTAAAAAATAAAAGAAAAAAAATTAAAATAGGGTAATGTCATGAGATTTAGAGGATCCTTAGGAGTAAATGAGAAAATATGTGCGAGACGCTTAGGAAGAGGGCCTGCATATTCACAGGAAGCACTCTGCAAACAGTAGCCATCACTACACAACCCTTCTTCCCCACCACGGCACAAGGGTAGGACCATTTGCCGGGGCAGGAATAGACAATTAGAATACACAGTGGGGTACCACACAGCCCCTGCTTGGGGCAGGCTCGCCAACAGGCAGCCCATTCAACTCTACCCTTACACATGGAGTTTGGGGATGCTTAGAGGCTAGCATGCATTTACGTGCTCTGATCACAAGAAAGGAGGTAGCTGTATTTCATGTCTTTAAAATTACAAAATGAAAGGGGCCAGGAGGTGGTGTGACAGTTAAGGTGCTGAACCCCTACATGGTGGACCATGGTTCAAGTCCCAAACCCGGTGGCAAACACACACGCTGGTCGTGTGTATGTGTGTGTGTTTGCCCGCATGCCCAAACTCCCAAGAAGAAAAGTGATTTCTCACTTTCCCTCTTGCTGTCTCTCTCTCTCTGGTGAGCACATGTGTACTATGACAAAAACCCAAAGAAAAAATAAATTACAAAATGAGAAAGATCACCATTTTATAAATGAATATTTAGCTGAGAAAGAGTAATGATCAAGAGACGCAGTTTTTCATTTAGCTGTGCTATAAGTTAATGCTTTGGGGCAAGTCCAAACATAAAAAGCAAGAACGATAACAGATAATATTTATTTGGTACTTTTTTTGGCTAATGCAGCAAATCCTGTGGTGAAACCCTATGATAAGCAACATCAGCAATCCATTTTAAAGATCAAGAACTTGGGCTTAACAACCAGACTTAACATACCAAGCCCCAAATGACAGTGCTATGGGCTGAACATTTGTGTCCCCTAAAATCCCAATGTTGACGCTCCAACCAACCAAGGTGGCTGTACTTTGAGAAGGATTTTATGGAGGTAATTAATGCTAAGTAAGGTCCTAAGGGTGGGGCCAGACACAACAGGACTAGTGTCCTTACAAGAAGAGACACCAGCGAGCTTCCAAGTGTCTCCTCCCACCCTCTGCCACGTGAGGACACCATGAGAAGGCACCATCTACAAGCATGGAAGAAGGCCCCCCCCACCACCCCCCACCTCCGAAGTGAAATGACCAGCACTTTGATTTTAGACTTCCAACCTGCCAGAACATGGAAAAATAAACAGATTGTCCAGTACAAGGGGGGAAAAAAAAAGCAATCCTGATAGTTTGTCCCAGCAGCCCAAGCGGATTAATACATGCAGGTACAGGGTGACAGAAGAACCCAGGCTATGTGGCCCTTAACTACCCTAAGCCTCAGGCCTCATAATCAGAAAGTGAGAGAAGAACCGGCAGCCACTGATGCTTTGACTAGTGTGCCTCAGCTTAAGTGAGAGTGTTGCCATAAAAAAGTGAAGAATTCATCTTACAGAGAAGGTATAATGGCATCTTATATATATCAGGATAGGGACATAATCCTGTGTGAGACTAGGGTTGGGAGCTTCCTGGCAAACTGTTTGCATGAGGTTTGGAAGTGGCTCGTTCTGCCCTCTAGTGGCCAGCCTGGAGCATGCAAGTGACACAGGACAGTCCAGGCTGTTTTTCAACATAGGCAGGACCGGTTGAGCATCCCTCATCTGAAATGCTTGGGACCAGATGTGTTCCGAATTTCAGATTTTATTATTTTTTTTTTGAATGTGAAATATCTGAAGATATATAATGTAGTATGTTGGGGATAGGACCCAAGTCTAAACACGAAATTTGTTTCATATCTACCTTACATACAGTCTGAAGGTGATTTTACGTGACATTTTTGTATTGACACATTTTGAATGTGACCCACCACATGAGGCCACGTGTGGAATTTTCCACTTGTGGCATCAGATTGGTTCTCAAAAGGTGAGGAATTCTGGAGCATTTCAGATTTCAGATTTTCAGATGGGAGATGTGCAACCTGTATTTGAAAACCGCTTTCTACTTCCGTATATTTAATCACTGTTTCTTAGGATTCCAGTGTCATTTTATTTTCTCCCCACCCTTAGCCTGGTGGGAGCTATCCTACTGCAGTTTCACCTTTTCTGTTGCTGGAAACAAAAGCAAACAACGGGATTTTAGGCATCTGCCCCGCAAAGGCATAGCTGTGTATGTAAGAGAAGCCGGAGCATGCTGGGTGGAGGAGGCGTGTTTGAAACGACCGTGTAAGTGTGGGTTCAGTCCCAAGGATGACGCTGTGAAGTATGCTTACACCTGAACAGCCTGAGCTCTCGCTGTTCTAATCTCCATTTACAGCTGGAAAAGACGAAGGATAAAATGTGAGTTGGAATTCTCACGTCTTGGGTAGAACTGGGGAAAAGGCACGAGAATAAAGACGGAGAAGAGAATTCTAGTACCACGTAATCGCTCTTGTTTCACCACACAAGAATACGCGATGTCTCAAGAGCGGAAATGTTGAGTCAATTTCACTAAGCTTATGTCAAGGAGAAAAAAGAGCTATAAATGTATCTTTCATCGTGTTTCTCATGAATGGATTAATCGCCCGGCTAAAATAAGGAAAGATGAATGTTCCATCAGCTGCTTCTCAATCAGCTCTCTCCACAGGAAGAAAATCAGAAACAGAAGAAACTCTCCTGAAGTCCTTGCTTTTCTTTCCTCTTGGCATGTTTTCTTTCTAAAAATGCCACATGGAGTAAAAGATCCTTTTGATACAGACTACACGGCAATGTGTCCTAACGAGAATCTGAGGTTCCCTGGACGCACGGTACCCTGTCAAGTGTTAGGGCAAAATTACGGGCATATAAAAGAAAACCGAACAATTACCACCCCCCTTCTTTTTTTGGCCTTTTCTTCTGCACTGCTCTGGTTCCAGCAAACCCAGTGGACATACCTGTCATGAGACCACTCAACGCCTCCCTTATTGGGCGTGGATCACATGCAGCGTATGACTCACATCCTTTCCTAACAGGGCTTTATAGTATCTCTAGTAGAGACCTGGGATGCAAAGTGAAAATAACTGATGACGATAAAGTCTCAACGACACCTAGTACAAGTTAGATCGGTTGTCATAAAAAAACAAACTGGGAGGACCAGCAGTTAGCGTAATGGCTATGTTGCTGGACTCCCATGAAGTCAACTGCAGTTCGAGTCCTGGACCTGGCGGCTTAAACTCACACAGGGTGTGTGTGCGTGTGTGCCCAAGATCCTGAGAGGAGAATGGAGGAGAAGGGATTGCGGCATGGCCATCCCCCCTGGGGGGTGATTTCTCGCTTTCTGTTTCTCTGTCTCTCTGGCAAGCGCATGCGCCCTATAGCAAAAACCTCTCAAAAAAGCAAACAAACAAAAACAAAACAAAACAAAAAACCAAAAACAACAACCCTGGCACCAGCAGATTGGCATAATGGTTATATTGTGGATTCCCATGTAGTTGACAGTGGTTTGAGACCCAGATCCAGCGGGTGAAAACTCACACCTGGTGCGTGTGTGTGCGTGTGTACCCAAGATCCAGAGAGGAGAATGGAAGAGGAGGAGAAGGGATTGCGGCATGGCCATCCCCCCTGGGGGGTGATTTCTCGCTCTCTGTCTCTCTATTTCTGGCAAGCACATGCACGCTATAGCAAAAATCTCTCTAAAAAATTTAAATAAATAAATAAGTGGCCAGTCAGCTGAGGCCAGCAGGTATTGTGATGGTTAAGGGGCTGGATTCCCAAATGGCCAACCATGGATCAAGTCCCAGACCTGGCAGCTTGAAAATCACAACAAACAAATAGATAAACACGTGTTTAAAAATAAATTAAAAAATAAAAATTAGGCCAGTCGGTGGCACAGTGGTTAAGGTGGCTGGGTCCCACATACCAACTTCACAGTTCAAGTGCTAGACCCTGTGGCTAGAAAAACACACAGAACACGTGTGCATGCATGCCCCATATTCCCAAAGAAAAATGGAGCAGAGGATACTGTGGCACAGCCGTCCTCCATGGGTGGAAATGCTTTCTTACTTTCTCCCTCCCTCTCTTCTCTATGAATGTTCATGTTCTCTTTAAACAGAAAACCAGCCAAACAAAAACTAACAATTTTAAGCTGTGCTCACAGGACACTCACAGAAACCCAGTCACCAAACTGCCTCCCGAGGTCCTGCTCAGGGCTGAAATCCAGGTTTCGGGAAGCACACTGACAAACTAGAGGCAACCACAAGGGTCAAAGCAGCACCAAAATACGCTTGTCCTTGAATTCTATTCTTCTATCAACTTTCCGAAGTCCCCTTGTATGAGTCACTGACGTGTATAAGGGGGAGATTTATCTTAGGTGGCTCCGGAGGGGGGGAATTAGGACCAGTGTGTGGGAGATAGAGTTCAGATGCACATAAAGAACTCTTTCCATCCAGGAGGGGTACGTACAAATGGACTGGCTCTCTCACAAAGTATTTACACCGAGACTAGACAAATGTCTGCTGGGGATGCCAGCAAGAGGGCTTCTGCACGAGGTGGGAGAATGAGTCAAGTTCAGACTCAAGTGCCTTGCAGCTCTCGGACCAAGCACGCGCTTACCTGGCAGAGGGAAATGTTCTCGTAAGGCTTCGCCCGGGCGTGTAAGTGAGCCTTAGCTTCTCGCTTATCACCGTGCACAAGCAGGATTGGTTTCTTCCTGAAAAGACGTCAGATGTAGTTAAAACCCACCGTGTGCGAAGCCGGACTCTTGCCTGGTTCAGGAATGCTAGCTGACTTCCCGCCTGACACCTGCTCTGCCTAGCACGCTGACTGACACAGTGCTAACAAGATCGGCTCACGTTCCCTCCGTCACGTTTATGTGGGGTCACATGGGTCTACAGTTCTATGGGGACCGAGAGGGGTTGTGACTCGAGTCCTTGAGTAATTTCCTTTGGTCCAAAAGGGACACATGGGCAGCCCTGTGTTAATAGATTCCAGTGCGAATAAAGTAACAATATACAATTACTATTGTATAGTGTCATGCTATTTTCTTTCCCTTCTTTTAGACCGAATAATGAATTACTTCCACACTGTACTTGTGGTCACCAAATTCCTACTGTGTGCTATGCTCTGCCCTAGACTCAGGTTACAGCAGTGAACAGGCCCACGACACGACTTAGGCTTGTAAATGGAAGTTATCAAGGTATGTTGAAAATGCTACATGGGCTGAGAGAATCCTTAATCCAAAAATCCAAAATCTGAGATGCTCCAAAATCCAAAACGTTATTGAACGCCGATATGTTGCCTCAATTGAAAAATTCCACACCTGCCTTGTGTGACACCCACAATCAAAACACTGTCATATAAAAATATAAAAATCCAAAACGTTATTGAACGCCGATATGTTGCCTCAATTGAAAAATTCCACACCTGCCTTGTGTGACACCTCACAATCAAAACACTGTCATATAAAAATATTACGCAATTATCATAAATGAATTCTGTGTTAATACTTGGGTCCTATCCTCAAGAGAGATTATGCATATGCAAACATTCCAAAATCCAAAATCTGGTTCTAAGCATTACGGATAAGGGTGATTGAACCTTATCCTTACAACGACCATACAAAAGCACTCCTCAGGAATAGATTTCAAAAGCTTTTAAAGCATCATTGATCTTTTCTGACGAAGGCAGAATAATTCTCTACCGCACGCAAAGGGACACCACCAAACTAGAAGGAAATCTGACAGAAAATGCACTCCTAGTATGAATGTCCAACTACCCTGTGTTCAAAAGCTTTATTCTAACTTGACAGGTAAAATAAAACTATGGAACATGCATTTCTAAGTTTTATTTCCTATTTGGAAAAAATTGTACAAGGAAGTAACCTAAGTGGCCAGTCTGGAGCATGGTGGCTGAGGCATCTGGGTCCCATGTGGCCAACTGTGTCATCTGAGTCCTGGACCCAGAGGCTTGAAAAACTCGGAGTGCGTGTGTGCGTGCACGTGTGTGCCGAAAATCCCAAGAGGGAAGAATAAGGTAAAAATGATTATAGCTTGTCCATTCCCCATGGAGGGTGCTTTCTCCTTTTCCCACGGTCTTTCTCCAGTGAATGCCCATGGCCTCTGGCAAATTTTAAAAGAAAATAATGTAAGAAATATTGATGCACCTGTCTTTAAAAAGTAAGAGATTGGGCCAGCACGTGGTGTGGTGGTTGAGGAGCCAGACTCCCACATGGCTGACCACAGTTCGAGTTCCACATCTAGAGGCTTAAAACTCATGCCAGGCCTGAGTGCCCAAAATCCCAAGAGGAGAACGGA